ATGATGATGATGATGATGATGATGATGATGGTGGTGATGATGATGATAGTGATGCTGATGATGATGATGATGCTGATGCTGATGCTGATGCTGATGATGATGATGATGATGATGAGAGGAGGGAGGCGGGGGAAGAAGAAAGAAAGCCGGCAGAAAGGGGGGCGCTGTCTCTTCAAAACGAAGACCCAACCCCGCAAACTGGTTAGGAAAAAGGCCCCCCCTTCCGTGACATGACCGGACCATTTCAACCTTCAATAGGGAATTCTCGGGCGAAGTGCGCGGACCGCCCTAATGACACGTCAAGTGGTGCGACAGGGGGGAGTTAGTCAGAAAGGAACGGGGTGGAGGTGAGGCGTAGGCGAGGGAGGGGGAGGAGGATGGGGAGGACCAGTATGAAGAGGACGAGGCTCTGACGTAGCTTCGGGCAGCCTCGTTCTCAATTCATGCCTCGAAAGCACGCTGGGTAGCAGCTCGAGTCTCGCGGTACCCGCGGCAAATGGGAACGGATGTGCCCGACCGACGGGCGCAACCGTACAATACAGTAAATATTGAAAGCGGGAACGAGCAAGACAGGGATGCCGCTGAGGAGGAGCCTGGGCCCAAGGTCCTTCACAGAAGACCACATCGTCTTGAATATTTTTCTCACGGTCCCACGGCCTGGGGAAAACCCCAAGAACCAACACACAACGGAACACCTCAGACACGATCCCTTGAGGACCCCGTTCGCTTAATGGCGAACGGGAAACGAAGAGCAGGAGGAGGAGGACGAGGAGGAGGAGGACGGGGAGGAGGATGAGGAGAATGAGGAGGATGGGGAGGAGGATGAGGAGGATGAGGAGGAGGAGGAGCCGATGCATCGGCGATGTGGCGCGATCCCCCGACCCATCTGACTCGGAACCCGCGCGGGACGCCTGAAGGTACGGGGGAGGGGCGGCAGGAGGCAGAGGAGGAGGAGGAGGAGGAGGAGGAGGGAGAGGAGAGGAAGAGGAGGAGGATGAAGAAGATGAGAGGTAGAGGAGGCGGGGGAGGAATAGGATGATGATGATGATGATGATGATGATGATGATGATGAGGAGGAGGAGGAGGAGGAGGAGGAGGAGGAGGATGAGGAGGAGGAGGAGGAGGACAAGGAGGTGGAGGAGGATGAGGAGGAGGGGGAGGAGCAGCATTATACAGACGGTGGCGATGATGTTGATGCTGATTAGGATGATGATGACGACGATGGCGATGATGCTGATGATGCTGCTGCTGATGCTTGTGAGGATGCGGATAATGCTGATGGCGACGACGATGACGATGACGATGACGATGACGATGATGATGACGACAATGATGACGCTGATGCTGATGTTGATGATGAGGATGATGAGGCTGATGATGCGGATGATGATGCTGATGATGATGCTGATGATGCTGATGCTGATGCTGATGTTGCTGCTGCTGGTGATGACAATGGTGATGCTGGTTGTGGTGGTGATGCTGATGCTGATGATGAGGCTGATGAGGATGAGGAGAAGGAAGCGGCGACTGAAGAGGAGGTGAATATCGGTTGAAGGACACCTAACCCTTTTGTAGCGGACCAATGAACAAATGCCCAAACCATTCGGAGTAGGGTGTCTATTCAGCATATGTACCGAACCAAAACACCCAGTCTGGTTATCCGTAGTGCAACGGCGGGGGCCTAACTGAGGCTACGTCTTCATTGTGTCATTAGGGTCGGTGATTCTTTGAATTCCGGGGAGGAGGAGAAGGAGGAGGAGGAGGAGGAGGGGGGGGAGGGGGAGGACCAGTGCAACACGAAGACGCGTCAACGAGGTTGCAAGACACCCTCCCTCCACTTTTCCTCTTCACAAATCCTTGCAATAATTGATTCCCAGCCATCCTGCGGCTTTGGGTCCCCGTTTTGAAGAGACAGCGCCCCGCGTCCTCCCCTCCTCTGCCCCCTCCCTTCCTCCTCTCATCCCTGCATCTGCCCTTCGCATGTTGCTGTCTCGAAACGCACATCACGCGTTTCGTTCCCCCGCAGTGCCCCACCGAAGGATCAACTGGCGGTGTCCACATGCGGCCGCCCAACCGATGTTGGCACAACCCTCACGCGCTTCGTGGCCGCATAGGGAGCCCCTTCGACGGCCCGAATGGCCACGCCCACACGCGGCCGCCCCACCCATGTCGGCACACCCCGAACACGTTTCGTGGTCCCACAGGTGGCTCCTCCGAAGGCCCCGATGGCAATGTCCACACGCGGCGCCCCACCAATTTCGGCACACCCCTCACACGATTCGTGGCCCCATGGAGCTCGACAAAAGGCGCCAATGGCCAAGGCCCCAATGGCCATGCCCACATGCGGCCGACCCACCGATTTCACGTTTCGTGGCCCCATAGAGCTCGACAAAAAAGCCAATGGCCAAGGTCCCAATGGCCATGCCCACATGCGGCCTCCGCACCAATTTCGGCACACCCCTCACACGTTTCGTGGCCCCATAGGGCGCTCCACCGAAAGCGATACTCACAACGACGATACTCGCAACTGCATCTGGTTTGGGCCTTCGCTGGAATAGTTGTCATTGCGGGAAATGTCCTATTGGACGACAATCGTCTGAGAATCCTCAGTCGTGCACCAACACACAAGTCCTGGGACCCCAACGCCGCAAATCAATGCGACTATTGCGGCCTGACGCACCCACGTCGTGCCAGAGAACACCGCGAATCAACGTCACCGTTGCTAGCAGGCAGTCCTAAATCGTGCCAAAGTGCCGTTCCTGTGACTCCAACCGTACGAACCCTTTAAACTGCTGCGGGCTTGCAAGCCGCATGTGTGCGGCGTTAAAGCGAGAACAGCACATCTAAACATAACCGCCCTTCATCCGTGAAGCAGCCCGAAGCTTTTAGAACGAAGGTGCGCGGCGCGAAGGCGAGACCAGCATCTTGGAAAGGAACCACCATCCATCCTCGAAGCAGTGGCAAGCATTCAAAATACCTGTGCGCGGCGCTGAGGCGAGAGCCACACTGGGGAAACCACCCGCCCTCCATCCTTGCCGCTGTTGCAGGCTTTTGCAACGAATGCGCGCAGCGCTGAGGCGAGCATCACATTTCGAATACCACCCGCCCGCCAGCCTAGAGGCTGCTGCAAACTTCAAGCTTCAGGATTCTCCGCCATCGTGCCAGGGAGGCACGCGTTGGAGTGTCCTCAGGTCCCGCGCCGATTCCCCTGGAGTCTCAGTCCTCAATCCTGAGGATTCTGTTGGGGGGCCAGACCCGAAATTTCCAAATATCCCAGGGCTCGGCGCGTGGCTCCCGGGGCGCGCCGCGCCTTGCCGCGTGAGTTTTTGGTGCCCAGCACTGGTTCCAAGACGGGGCCCCAAGAGGGCTGCCAGACGGTCCAGGAGGACCCTACATCGCCGAACGATCGGCCCAAGACGCACAAGATGGCCTCCAGTCGGCGGAAAAACGCCGAAGACGCCCTCACAGACCTCACCGCCACGGCCCCGAGAGGCCAACATCATGGATCGTCCTTCGGTTTTTGACGGCCTCTGGCGCTCTGTCGCCCGTTCGGCGCCCTGGCGCTCCCAAGCGGCCCACGAGGCCTCTACGACGGCCCCAACCTGGCTCAAAAGCGGGACCTGAAACGGCCCAGGAGGAGGAGGAGGAGGAGGAGGAGGAGGAGGAGGAGGTGGAGGAGGAGGAGGGAGGAGGAGGAGGAGGAGGAGGAGGAGGAAGAGGACGTGGACTTCGACCTCGGAGGCCTCCAACACGGCCCAAGAGGCGGCCCAGACGGGGACCCGAACGGACAGTTCGAGCCCTCGGCCCGAAGGAGCCCCCTCCGGAGGCCCGCAGCAGGCCCCCCAAGCGGCCCCCACGAGAGGCTCCCACGGGGCCCTCGAGGAGGCACCCCAAGGAGTCCTCGAGGATGCCTCAGCACTGTCTCTCCCCTGAGGCCCCCGAGAGCCCTCCGAAGAGACCCCGAGAAGCATGCCTGAGGAGCCTGACCCACATCCCAGGCACGGTGGCGGGAGGGGCCGAAGGCCATTCGACCCGCCGCCCCCGGTTGATTTATCACAGGAGTGCCTGGCGTGCTGGATCCTACTGTTTTTGGTTTTGGCTCCGTTCCCCAAGAACTACCCTTGGAGCTTGGGCCCAGCGGGCGGGCCACCAGGAAGGTCGCTGAGCTGCACAACACTCGTCTCCAAGACGGCCTAGATGGCCTCCAAGACAGCCACGATGGCCCCAATATGGCCTACAAGTTCGCCCGGGATGGTCCAAGTTGGCCTCCAAGACGCCCCAAGAGTGTCCCAGATGCCTCCAAGTCCGCCCACGAAGGCACTTAAACGGCCCAAATGGCCCCAGAGGCCCCCAAGAGGCCTCCACGACGGCTCCAGAGGCCTCCAAGAGGTCCTCCAGGAGGGCTGGAAGAGGCCAACAGTAGATTGTTGACGGATGTTGGCATTTGCGTCTTTTCGGTCTTCCGACGGCCCAGGACGACCCAAGATCCCCCAACAATCGATCCAAGATGGCCCGCAAAGCATCCAATATGACCCCGTGACGCCCCAAGAAGCTTTTAAGAAGGCACTCACAGGGCCTCAAGACTGCCCACGAGGCCTCAAAGACGCCCAATCTGCCTCCAAGGCGGCCCTGAAGCGCCCCAAGAGGGCCCCAAGTCGGTTCAGAGAGACACCCAAGACTGCTTACGACAGCGTCAGACGGGCCAGGATCGCCCCAAGATGGCCCAAGAGGCCCAAAACTCTCCCAAGAGGCCCAAGGAGGCTTCCAAAAGGCCCGCAGGAAGCTCCCAGGAGGCCCCAAGTGTCCTCCTCCTCCTCCTCCTCCTTCTCCTCCTCTCTAGCTGTCCTCCCTCTCCTCCGCTTCTCCTCTCCCCTGCGTGTGCCCCGACACGCCTCCCCGGGGGCTGGGGGGAACACGTGGTCCGATAGCCTGGCAGAGCTCTGGCCACGACGCCCGGTCCCGCGGGCGATTCCGAAGCGGCACGGGGCCGCGCGGCCCGCCTCGCGGCGCCGCCGTCGGGGCCCAGCAGGAAGGCCAGGACGTCCTCGGACCTGCGGCCGCGCGGCGGGGGGGGAGGGCCCGAAGAGGAACACGCCCGCACGGCCGAGCGAGCCGAAGAGGGAACGCGGGAACGCGAGGCGGGTGGAGCAGAGGAGCGCGCACAAGGCGACCGGGGAGGAAGCAGGACGCGTGCTCCCGAAGAGGAGTCGAGCGCAGGCACGCTGCCGAAGGCGAAGCTCAAAGCAAGCGTCGTCGGAAGACTGGAGCGGAAGGAGCTCTCCCATCCGGTCCCCCGAGAGGGGAATCGAGGAGCAGGGAGGGATCGAGGATCGAGGCGCAGGGGGAGGAGGATGAGGATTGGTCGAAGGATCGAGGAGGGAGGGATGGAGGATCGAGGAGCAGTAGGCGACGGATCGATCGAGGGATCGAGGAGGCAGAGGCGATCGAGGACCCAGGAGGAGGCATCGAGGATCTGGGCTCGAGGGCGGAGGACGGGTGCGTGGTGTGGAGGAGGCGGCGGAGGGCGGAGCGTCCCTCTTCGGCCGTGGACCGCCCGCCTCCACACTGCCGGGCTGCAGAGCCCTCGTCGTTTCCGCGGGGAGCGCCGCCGGTGCCGTCGGTGCGTCGGAGGCCGCCGCCGTGGTAGAGGGCCGTTCTGATTACAGTCGGGGGCTTGACCTAAGACACCCTAAATTGGGAACGAGGCCCCTTTTTTCCATGAGTTAAACTTCGATTTCCGATCGAAAACATAAGGAAAACCTGAGGCAAGCTGCGAAACACTTAAGGAATGCGGAGCCCCTCCCCAACGAAAAGGGTTCCTTCTTCGGGGCCCCGACTGTATACGGAGCTCCTCGGGGCCCTTCGCAGAGAGGGGGGGGAGGGGGGGAGGCAGTGGAGGACCAGAGTACACCCAGGATGCATCAGCGGCGCTGCAGTACGCCCTTTCGTCCCCGAGCCCCCTGCTCACGCATCCCTGCAAGCTTTCCTTCTCACTGACAGAAGCGCCCCCCATGAAAGACCAACGCCACACGGGCCTGCCATTTTGGCAAGGGCCCCTCGTCGAAAAGCAGCCGCACGGCCTCGTTCTGGCGCGTAGTCAGACATGCGAACGCATGCTGTTCGACGATGTTTCCAGCGATAGCCCCGTTTCGAGAAAAGACATTTTGAAAGCGGCACGCGCCCTTCATCCTTGAAGCTGCTGCAAACTTTGAGACAAACGTGCGCGGCGCTAAGGCGAGAGTCCATTTCGAAAACGACCCGAGCTCCATCCTGGAAGCTGTTGTAAAGTTCAAGCTTCAAGATCGTACATGGTGAGGAACGGCTCAGCCGAAACGCCCGGCGCTTTCACCGACACGTCTGGGGGTACGACGGGGATGAGGATATTTAGCAGGGGGATCCATTGAGGACGAGGAGGACGAGGAGGACGAGGGGGAGGTGGAGGAGGAGGAGAGAAGGAGGAGAGGAGGAGGAGGAGGAGGAGGGGATGGAAAGGAGGAGGAGGAGGAGGAGGAGAGGAGGAGGAGGAGGAGGAGGAGGAGGAGGAGGAAGGAGGAGGGAGGAGGAGGAGATGGAGGAAAGGGGGAGATGGAGGAGATGGAGGAGATGGAGGAGGAGGAGGACGAGGAGGACGAGGGGGAGGTGGCAATCGTCGTCGTGGTCCTTTTTCCTCCGCGCCGCTGGGCGTCGCCCCCCGCGGGGGGCTCGCGCCAGAGCCGCCCTCGGACTCCTCCAGCATCGCCTCGTAGCGTCTGCGGTAGCCCTCCCGCTCCTCCCTGGGCGGCGGGGCACGCAGAGACTCCTCCTCCTCCTCCTCCTGCTCCTGCTCCTAATCCTGCTCCTGCTCCTCGCACTTTTCCCTCCTCCTCCCCCTCCTCCTCCTCCTCCTCCTCCATCTCCTCCTCCTCCTCCTCCATCTCCTCCATCCTCCTCCATCTCCTCCATCTCCTCCATCTCCTCCATCTCCTCCTCCATCTCTCCTCCTCCTCCTCCCCTCCTCCTCCTCCTCCTCCATCCTCCTCCTCCTCCTCCTCCTCCTCCTCTTCCTCCTCCTCCTCCTCCTCCTCCTCCTCCTCCTCCTCCCCTCCTCCTCCTTGGCTCGCTCGCGTGGGGGCGAGCCCAGGGCACATTCGCCCTCGGCCCAGCCGCCGCCTGTGCCGAAGGCCCGGCGGGTGGAGGGCAGCGGCTTGCCGAGAGAGCGCGCGCGGCGGGCGCGCTGGCCGGGCGAGCGCACCTCGGCCCCCCTGGGGTGATGCGGCCAGCGCGGCGCACCCGTGCGGCCTGGCGCACCCCGAGGAGATCTCTGCCCTGGCCTGCCCTGCTGCTGGGGGCCGTGCTGCGGCTGCTGGGGGGGCGCCCCCGTGTGGGTCGGGGCCCCGCGGAGTGTTTTGGATCGGCGTGGCAAGGCACGGGCCTTGAGACACGCCGAGCAGCTCTTCTGGAGCCGGCCTGGAGCGGGGCCGCGGGCCCACAGAGGCTGTGCTCGAGTCCCAGGGCGTGGGTGCGGAGTCAGCTTTGAAGGCTCCACTGTGCTCAGAGCGCTCTGGTTGCACCTCGCGTTGCTGATGTTGCTGATCCTGCGTCCTTCTCCTCCTCATCCTCTTCCTCCTTCTCCTCCTCCTCCTCCTCCTCCTCCTCTTGTCCTCCCTGTCCTCCACCTCTTCCTCCTCCTCCTGCTCCTCCTCCTCCTCCTCTTGTGGGGTCTGGGGAGGATGGGGAGGACAAGCGGTGGATCGAGGATGTCGGCGAAGGAGGAGGAGGAGGGAGGAGGACCAGCGTAAACCCGAAACTTATCAATGATGTAGGATCAAACCCTCCCCCCAAACTCCCTCTTCACAAGCTTCCACAATACTCCACTTCTACTGGCGGAATTGCCACGCGGGGATAGAATCGTTTAGGTACCCTGCAGTGTGCCAAAACACATTCTCGTAACTCCGAAGCGACGAATCAGCCTAACTGTTGCGTCTTGACGGTCCTGAATCGCACCAACACACCATTCCTGGGACTTCGACACCGCGATTCAGCGTAACAGTTACGCCCCCACAATCCTGAATCCTTCCAACAACCAATTTCTGGCACGCTGACCAAAGGAATCCGTGAAACTCTTGCTAACGTTTAAAGCGAATTTGCGCGGCGCCAAGGCGAGAACCACACGTTGGACAGAAACCGCCATCAACCCGTGAAACCCTTGCAAATGTTTAAAGTGAATGTCCGCGGCGCTAAGGCGAGAACCACAATTTGAACACTCCGTGAAACTCTTGCACATGTTTAAAACCAATGTGCGCGGCGCTCAAGCGGGAACCACATTTTGAAAACCTCCCGCCCTCAACCCGTTAAACTCTTGCAATTGTTTGGAACGTGCGCGGTGCTAAACTGATAACCACATTTTGAAGACCACTCGCCCTCAATCCGTGACGCTTCAACAATATTTGAAAACGAATGTGCGCGGCGCTCAAGCAACGACCACATTTTGAAGACAACCCGTCCTCAACCCGTGCAACTCTTGCAAAACTGAATGACGAATGTGCACGGCGCTCAGCAAGAACCGCATTTTGAAAGCCACCTACCCTCAACCCGTGCATATGTTGCAAGTTACTGAACTTCAGGGTCATGAACGGTGAAGAGCTCTCAAGTGAAACGCCCGGCCCGCACTTTCGACAATCCTCGGGGTGCGACAGGGAAGAGTTAATCACAAGGAAATGGGATGGAGGAGGAAGAGGAGGAGGAGGAGGAGAAGGTGGAAGAGATGGAGGAGATGGAGGAGGATGAGGAGGAGGAGGAGGAGCAGGAAGAGGGGGAGGTGGAGGAGGAGGAGGACCTGAGGAGGAGGAAGAGGAGGAGGAGGAAGACGGAGGAGGAGAGGAGGGGGTGGACGGAGGAGGGCGGAGGGGACAAGAGATTCCGATTGGACTTTCAATCGGTCGACTGGCCTGAGCTCCCTGTTCTCCCTCAACAGCTGCCTCATATCGTCTGTCCTGAGGGTAGCGCGAGAAGGGTAGGAGGGCAGGGTAGCATGTTGAGATGGCAGCGTGTTCGCTGCGGATCGGAGGAGGGAAGAGAGGGAGGATGACGAGGGAGGATGATCCCGATTCGAGAGGAATGATGAGGAAGAGGAGGGGTGGAGATGGAGCGAACAAACGAGGAGGAGGAGAAACTTGAGCAGGAGATGGAAGAAGCCCCTCTGGTGCCCTCTCGTGTCCCAGATGTGGGCCAAGCTGAACTAAAGGGAGAAATCATTGCCAAGCCATGCCGCCATAGGAACCGCAATTCCAACTGACCATCGGCGTTGTCCTCGGCCTCGTCCTCGTCCTCCACCGAGGCGCCTCCTCCTGCTCCTCCTTCTCCTACTTCTCCTCCGTCTCCGTATCCTCGTTCTCCCCGTCGTCATCGTCGTCGTCGTTGTCCTCCTCCTCCTCCTCGACGTCGTCGGCCTCGTCCTCCCTCTCTCCTCCTCCTCCTCTCTCTGGCTCCCCCCTTTCCTCCTGCTCCTCTTCCTCCTAATCGTTGTGCGTCGTCCCGCTCCCTCGCTCCTCCTTTTCCTCCTGCTCCTCCTCTCGCTCCCACCTCTTCCTCCATCTCCCTCGCCCCCAGAACACTGGACCCCCCCTGAGCTTTCGGCGTGGACCCCGAGCAATGAGTAGAGAGATCTCTGGATATCTCTGGATGTGCAGTGCATGTGGTGCAAGCTGTGGTGCTTGCTCGGAGGTGCAATCTGTGCGTTAAACTTCATGCTGTAAGTCTGATCGTAACACCATCAGTAGTAAGACCGTCGTATTGGCAACAATACTAATCATCGTCGCGGCAATCACATTCATATCATTATGTTTGGTGGTGGTAACGGTGGTGGTCGTAACATTGGTTTTCGAATTAGTAACATTAAGGGGACATCTGGACACACCAACCAACACACGACGCAACGACGAAGCGGCGACGGGCGCAAACCGGGCGAACAACTGGAAGCGCCAGCCACTTACTTAGCGTGGTAAGTATCAGACCCGCAGTGCAAACACAGTTTGGGGATATATGAAGAGATCCAGCCACCTAGATCCCCTCCTCTCTCCGTCAGAACGAATCAGAAGCAAACGACACCACATGGACCTCCGAGAATGCCAGTAATAGCACGCGAACGTAGCATTGGAAGCATTCGACATCCCCCTCCTCCTCCTCCTCCTCCTCCTCCTCCATCTTCTCGCGCCCCCTTGAACAGAAAGCACTCCTTCCACAGCTAAGGCTCACCTCCTCCTCTTTCCTCCTCCTCCTCCTCCCATTCCTTTCCCTCTTTTCCATCCTTCGCCTCCTTCCTATACCTTCATCCTCCTCTTCATTCTTCCCCAACTCTTCCTCCTCCTCCTCCTCCTCCTCCTCCTCTTCGTTCGCCTCCCTCTCGCCCTCCCTTTGTCCGCCCTTCCCTCCACATCCTCAATAAACCGGACGACTTCGTATTTGCTGGCCGCAATGAGAGCAGGTCTTCCAAGTCGGCTATTTGACACGCAGCATAACTCAAACAGAAGCACGTCTTAAGGGTTTCCCCTAAAACCACCAACGGCTCGAATAGCGCTCGAAGAGCGCTTATCCCCGATCTGTGTGCCAGCAGCCGCACTCATAGTCGCACCAGTAATTACTGCAGGCGGCGCCCCTAGTATCTGAGTTGGAGGCATCCCAATGGGGCCCAAGTAGATAGGGTCGGAGGATCGCGCCACATTGCCGATGCATCGGCGATGCATCGGCGGCGCCGGCGTGGAGAAAATCGGCCTCGACATCGAGCAGCATCGCCGATGCGGCGGCAATGCATCGGCGATGCGGCGCGATCCTCCGACCCCGTCAACTCCGATTCCCACCTGGGAGGCCTGCACTCGTGGCAGGCACGTGTCCGCTTCCACCTCCCCCTGCTCCTGCCCGTGGCTAGCCCACCTCTGCTTCCCCGTGCCCCCCGCTGCCCGCGTGCCCCGAGGTCCGCCCGGCGAGCTCCGTGCTCATCCACCGCAGGGCCCTCAGCTCCTCCCTGACATCCTCTCGGCCAGGAGGAAGGAGGAGGGAGGAAGGAAGAGGGAGGAAGGAGGAGGAGGAGGAGGAGGAAGAGGAGGAGGAGGAGATGGAGATGGAGATGGAGATGGAGGAGATGGGGGAGATGGAGGAGATGGAGGAGATGGAGGAGCAGGAGGAGGAGGAGGACGAAGGGGGGGAGGAGGAGCAGGAGGAGGAGGAGGAGGAGGAGGGGGAGGAGGAGAGGAGGTGGACTGGGGGAAGGGTGGGGGGGATGGAGGAAGAGGACCCAAGACCTCGTCAGCGAGCATGGGGAGAAGTGAAAAGGGGCGGGCCTTCTCAGAAGGCTCGGAAGTCCCCCGGCCTCCTGAGAAGTTTTCTGAGCCTTCCCCGAAGACACACCAAACCTCTCAGAAGGCGCGAGGGCTTCTGTCGGGGGCGCGCAAATATGGATTAGCGATCCATGGATTTGGCGCGCGGTCGCCAAATCCATGGATCGGGGGAGGTGCCCTCCCCAAAATGCGGCCGGTGCCGCCTCGTTCGGCGGCGGAAATCGCGATTCCCCATGAAAACGGGACCCGTCGCTAATCCACGCCCCCTTAATCCATGTTTGCGATCGCCTGATTCTGAGAAGCCCCGCCGCCTCCCGAGAAGGCCTTCCCCTCCTCACGCGCCCCCCCTCGCTCGCCGCCGAGATGGCGTTTCCTGGTGGGGCCCCCGTGTCGCCTCAAGCAGCCGCCCGGGGGCCAGAGGTGTTGACCACCTACCAGACCCCCCCAACCCAACCCGGAGACCCGGATTTCGGGTTGGGGGGGGGTAAGGGCTCCACATGTACTTTTGTTCGATGCTTCCCGACATCCCCCCACTGGAAATCGAGGGGGTAAATCTGAGCCTTCGGGCTGGGTTGGGGTGGTTTGGTGGGTGGTGAGGCGTGGCCCCGGAGCCAGCCCCTCCCCCCCCCGCGTGCGACGGACATCTCCCGACACCCTCCGACGCCTGGGGCCGCCAAGCACCGGCTCGGGATCAGCAGCCGGTCCCCGGGAGGGTGCCCATGCTGGGGCATCGAACTCTGTACACCGACGCCTCTGCCGGCCCTGCATTCGACTTCGCACTGGAGAGCGGATACTGGTGTATACGGGACATCGGGGACAAAAAGTATGCATTGTTCGGGCACGGCGGGCACGGCCACGGCGAGTTCGGGCCACGACGGGTTCGGACCACGGCGGAGCGGGGACATCGTACTGGATTCGTGTATACATTTTTCGTTGTTTCCCTGGGACATCGGGGACAAAAAGCATACGCCACACCACCCCAGCGTCGTCCTCGGCCCCCAAGGACCCCTGGGACTGCAACACAGCCCGCCACTGGTAGTGTCGATGTTCCAGCTTCCGACATACCTCTGGAGAAACACGACGTCGGGGGGTCTGGTGAGGAGGCCAGAGCCAACCTCGTCTGGCTGCTCTGCCATTCTTCTGCGGCTTCCGCAGGCTGCCACTGGAAGGTTTCGGGGGAGGGCAGGGAGGCGAAGGAGGAGGGGGCGGCTAAGGAGGGGTGCGTAGCACCCAATACGCCGGGTGTAAAGGGGCCCTGGGACACACAAATGAATACACACAAATAAAACAATTCCCCACATTGTTCCATGTTTTCTGGGTTCTTGCCTTCCCCCCCACCTCCCATGTTCTTCCCATATGCTTAGGGAGTCGACGATGAATTGTGTCTGTGTGCTTTTCCCCCTCCTGAGAATGGCAACTTTGGGGATCAGGAGGGGGCTCTGGCTTTCGGGCCGCCTCCCTGGGCTTTTACGCCGTGGAACCCGTGCTCGGTGGCCGAGGCTCGCCGCGGCCAGAACAGAAACCGCGTCGTTCCTCGTTTGGCGTTCCTGCTGGCAGCGCGATGACTGTAGGGAGGTTCCTCCTCCTCCTCCTCCTCCTCCTCCTCCTCCTCCTACTCCTCCTCCTCCTCCTCCTCCTCCTCTTCCTCCTCCTCCCCCTATGCTTAGCACGCTTGCCGTTTCACCCAATCGTCTAGTATGTCTCACAACTTCTGCCAACGCACCTATGTTGTGCATGGCGTCTGTCTGACTGTCTGTCCGAAACGATCTAGGTTTTCGGGGTGCCCCAGCTTCCGGAGGTCTCCAGAGGATCTCGGAGAGGGTGGAGGGAACGGGAAGGAACACGGTTGCGTCGGACGAGGAGGGGAGTGGAGGAGGAGGAGGCGGAAGGTGGAGGAGGGTGGTGGAGGGGACGGGAGGGAGAACGGGTACGTAGGACGGAGGGCGAGGACGAGAGGCACGAGAATCATCAAATCTGCATGGAATGGACTGCGCACCGCATGTCAGGACCACAGGCTGTAAGAAGCACGAGGGTTCAAGCACCTCTGACTGGACTCAGCCTGCTCCTCACACTCAAGCTCTCCAAATGCAGACGGGATTCAGCGAAAAAGAAGCACGGCTGCACATCTTCGGCTGAACGATGAGAATCGTGGTCTGCCCGCTGAGGGCTGCTGTGCTTGGCACCCGCTGCCTGAAAGGGACCTGCTCCAAGCTCGGGCGCGGTGCTCCTCGCACTCCTCCTCCTCCTCCTCCTCCTCCTCCTCCTCCTGCTCCGCCTTTTTCCTGGCGGCGGGCGGCCGCCCGCGCCCAGGAGCCGCGGTCGGGCCCGCGCGTGACCAGGAGCCGCTCCCGGGGGAGGCGCCCTCGGGCAAACGTGCGCCCAGCGAAAGCCCTCTGCCCAAATCCGCACCGGCCCCACCGGCTGGGCCCCCGGGCCGCGACGGCCGTCTCCCCGCGCGCGGAACGCATCCGTGTGGCCGCGCACCCTCGGGACCGCGCTCCCTGGAGCCCAGAAGGCGAGGGCGTGGATGATTGTGGATGCATTCGCCGCTCGTGACCGTGGCCGTTCACCCCCGTGCGTCCTCCACGCTCATCAGCACGGCGTCGTACCCCTCGCCCTTCACGGACTCCACGTCCGCGGCGCGCTCCGCGCGCAGCCGCTCCAGCAGGTCCAGCAGCTCGTCGCCCTCCGGCAGCCACTGCACCTGCGGAGGCACTGGCAGGCACGCGCGCACCGCCAGCGGAGGCCCCCGCCCCCCCAGTGGGACTGCACGTCGTGCATTTCTGATTAATCGTGCTCATCTCCAATGGTGCTCGCTTCTAACTGTTCCTGGCCCCCTGGTGGCCAGGAGGAGGCCCAGGATAACACAAGCAGAATTGACGGGATCTTGGCTCTTCAAAGAATCAAAGAACTCTGGAATACTCAGACAAGAGCAGTGTGTCCATCACTGCTATGCCTACCGTTAGGGAGGGCTGAAGAAGAACGGAAGGGGCCTCTCTGGCCACGGCGAGCCTCGGCCACGCCTGGGCTCCCCACCCAGGGATCCGACGAACGGCCCGCAGTACAGCGCACCTCCAGTCAGGGCGTTGACTTAAGGAACCCTAAATAAGGAACGAGGCCCCTTTTTTCCATAAGTTAAACTTCGATTTCCCATCGAAAACATAAGGAAAACCTGAGGCAAGCTGTGAAACACTTAAGGAACGCGGAACCCCTCCCCAACCAAAAGGGTTCCTTCTTCAGGGCCCCGACTGTACTGAGCCCTCCATGGCCGTTGTTTCGGCGTCTTGACTGCAGAGCAGAGCGGGGGGCGGAAGATCGCACCGAATCGCTGACACATCGGCGGTGCGTGAGCCACGTGGGGAGGGAGAGGAGCAGGCCCCGGTCCCGCCGCGCCGCCGATGCATCGGCGGTGCGGCGGTACCCTCCGATTCCATCTACTCTGGCCACGTTTGGAAGGCCTGGGGCCACCAGCACCGGCCAGGCCCATCCTTGGCCTTGGGCTCGTGGCGTGTCTCCCTCCTATCCCCTCCCGGCCTGATCTGTGCGGTCCAGGTGCGCCCTCACGGCAGCATCCTGCCATGACAACGTTTTTTGTTTGCCCGTGAACGCGAAACGTCAGCGTGTGTGTATGCGTGAAACCAAGACAGCGTGTTATACTGTCTTGTGTAGCGCTCTGGGGAATGGGGAGAATACTGGATGGTTGTGGATCCTACGCAAATCGCCCAGGCAAGCCAGCGAACAAGTGGCCGTGTCAGAGCGGGCTTTGGCCTCGAATTCCACGACGGCCGCCACCCCAAAAGTTCCGACTCAACACGAAGCATTGCGCGGAAGAGCTCGACACAGCTATCCCGACCACAAATATGCAGGACGGAATCGTTCTGTCGAAGTGGCAACGAGGACGCGACCACCTCATCATATGCCTATGCCAGAGCCGCCTCTTCTTTGCGTCGGCGCTTTAGTTCAAACGCCGCTTTCCCATCGCGCGGCTCAAAAGCGCGCCCTGCTGTGGCCCGCTACTCTGCGCCATGCCTCCAAAGCTGGAACGCAGTAACTGTTCCATCTGCAACGCCGCATTGCCCGGCGTTTCGTTTGGAGCGAGACAACTCCACGAGGCAATCAAAACGTGCAGAGACTGTGCAAGCCAGAAGCGCGCGGCTACCACGACCCGGCCGTGCGCGCGATGTCCTGAGCAACTCCCGCCAGGCGCTTTTGCTCCACGCGACAGGCACCGCAGCGACAGAATATGTACGTCCTGCACGTCACGACCGAATTATTTCTTCGTGCGCGCTGTCTGCGGCGACACACTGCCCGTGGACGACTTGGCTCCCAGCCTCCACGACCGCAGTCACAAAGCATGTCAGCAATGTTGCCGACGAGGACGCCCAGCCAGCATTATGACTCGCATCGCTTTGGGACATATGACACGCAAGTGCTCGCATTGCTGTTCCAGCGCGAAGGGGGTGGGTTTTGTTGCGGGGCTGGGAAGCGTTGCGTCGACTTCACTGAGTAGTACACGCCCCCCTTGGCGTGTACTACTCAGTGAAGTCGACGCCGCGGGCGGGAGCGGAGCGGGCGGGGGCGCCGTCCCCCGGGAGGGGAAAGGGAAGGAGGAGGAGGAGAGGAGGAGGAGAGGAGGAGGAGGAGGAGGAGGAGGAGGAGGAGGAGGAGGAGGAGGAGGAGGAGGATGGGCGTTTTCCGCACCACTTGGCTGTGCAGGGGCGCCCAGGGATGTCCAGTGCCCGACGCTGCCCACCAATGCACCTCGGATAACAATGCTTCCCGCACTTAGCCGACGTTGCAATGACCGACTCCGGACGGTAAAATCCCCGTGGGGTAATAAAGTTCGGGGTTCTGGCGGGGATACTCAAATATTTGCCTAGCGAAGGTGATGTTATGCTGATGATGATGGCGATGACGATGATGGCGATGATGATCCGGGGTGCTCGCGTAACCTGACCTTGTAGATCTTGGCACAAGACTGGCTCGAGAGATCTCGAGGCTCGTGGCTACAATTTGCCTGCGCAAGACAGGTCCTTGGCGCCCCTGGCCAAGAAACCTCTCTTGCGCACGGCCTCGAACCACTCGCCCATGCAGGCTCGGAAACTCGTGGAGCCACGCGGGCGTGATTGCAGAAGCTGAGATGGAGAGACCACCATTGCCATGCTCAGCGTTTTTGATGCCGTTGTTAATCAACATAAGATGCTAGCAACTTCGATTCGCAACTTCCCATGGGGATTATCAAGTTCGGCATCCGCGCCCTCTCCACAATCAAATCCTGTTGAGACGGGATCAAAATGTTAGGAGGCAGCGGGGGGGTATGATCTATTATCGGGGGTCGTCGGTTAGCTTATTCTCTTTTGCAATACTGAGATTCATAGCACTAAGTCAGAACGAGCGCTGCGAATCGGGAGCGAGCTCCGACCCTCGAACATTCGCATCCACGGCACAATGTACCGACGCATTTGGGACTGCACCGGCCGCGCGCTCTTGCGTTACATTGTAGCCGACCCAAAAGAGCGCGGCGTAACCGCTACAGCGCAGGGACTACGCCAGGGAGCTCCGACGCCTATGATAGGCGTCCTATCAGCTCCGTCAGCACGCGCCCCAGTTCTGGCAGTGGAGCTACAGCGCGACGAGGACATCAACGAGCTCGCCGCGATTGTCCACGAGACGCCCCACGTCCACGTGTCCGCGCGATCTGTTTTTTCCGCAAAGCCCCGTCCTCTACACCGCAGTACCTTCACCCATTGAGCGCACTCTACGAACCCTTGAGTTACCTTCCCGTCCAATGTCCCCGCTTCATAAGTTCATGCAATAATTCCATTTCACACTGATAGGCGCCCCATGGGCCTGACATTGCTGAGAACTGTGCGCGCAGAAATGTTATTCCGACGATTCCCGGCTGATCAAACCATTGCGCTTTCATATAGGCTGAAACGTTGAATCTTCTGAAAACGACAACCCCATTTTGCAAACCAGCCGACCTCCATCAGTGTAACAGCTGCAACCTTTTAACACGAATCTCCGCGGCGCCAAGATGAGCGCAACATTTTGAAAACGAAACGCTCTCCATTCGTGTAATTGTTGCAAGCTGTCAAGACAAATGCCCCAAACGTCAAGGCGAGAGACCCATTTTACAAACGACCCGCCCTCCACCCGTGTAGCTGCTGCAAACTTTTAAAACGAATGTCTGCGCCGCCAAGGCGACAGCTCAATGTTTAAAAAAAGACCTCCTCCATCCGTGTAACTCCTGCAACCTGTTAAGCCGCCGTCGTCGTCGTCGTCGTCGTCGTCGTCGTCGTGGTCGTTGTCGTCATCGTCGTCGCCCTCGAAATCGACGACGTCGTCGTCGTCGCAGTCGTGGTTGTGGTCGTGGTCATGGTCGTCTTCCCCCCTTTGACGCCGCCGCTGCTGGCGCGGGCCCGAATGCCCTCCTGCGACGGGCCTGGTCGACGCCAGCGCCGCGACAGGCACGAGGAGGGGGAAAAGGAGGAGGAGGACGAGGAGGAGTGGGAGAAAGGAGAGGGGGGGGAAAAAAAAAAAAACGAGCACGAAAACAAAACGGGCCAGGGGCCGAAGGCCCTGCTGCGATGGGCATGGGCGGCACCGTTTCAGAACCCCTCGCATTACGGAGTCCCGCGGTGCAGCTGTGTCGCGTGGTGTTGCCAGTCCTGTCGCTTTGTGGCTCTTCGCGCTGGCACACTCCAGCCTATGCCGCACTGCACCGCGCAGCCCCCCCCTTTTTTCACTACGTGACTCTTGCGGCGGTTAGCTGCACCCCCCACATGTGTTCTCACAGACGGTGTGCAGCTGCCCTTCAGTTACGTACTTCTTGCCGCGGTTAGCTGCGCTCCCCTGCCACACGCCCTGTCGCTCTCTGTGGGCGGCAGTAGCCCTCCCACACCCGCGCGACACTGTGTTTTGGATTCTCGGCCAGCGTCTGCAGTCGGTGGTGGTTCCGTTGGCCGCGCGCCGAGTGGGTCAGCCTTCGGCGTCGTCGGCCTTCGTTTCCACTACGTGCAGCTGGCGTCCCAGGCTGGTACATTGTTGTCTGTCTGGGCAGTTGCTCGGAGCTTGGCGCCGCAAGGGCGACTTACTCCGCAGCTTGCACCTCTGTGCGCTAGGTGCGTCCCAGTGAATGCTGAGCATTTTGCTCAGTGCACGTGCATTGCATGCCTCGCGTGGAATTTGCCTGTTCCGCCGTCCCGGACACGCCTGTTGCCGCCAGACCATTGTCGCGCGGCCGCCGACCAAAAAATCCCCACCAGCGCAGTCTTGTCGGTGATGAGGTTGCCCCTCTTCACTCTTGCGCCGACACGATGCTTTGGCATTTGTGTCGCCTACGGCACGGGTGTCGTCCGGGTGTGCCTGTCGGTCTAGTTCGTCTCTGACGGTGCTGCTTGTCTGACTCACACCGAGCGATCGACCTCTGCGTGTTATGGTTGCGCCGCCGCGCCATTTTGGCTGCGCTTACTTGCTGGTCGCCACTGGGATTTCCACGCCACCGGGTTTGGGAGTAATAGTTTTGGCTCTCCTTCTGACTGGCTGCCCGCTCGCTCGCTTCGCTTGCCTTTCTTTTCCTGCTGCCTAGTAGCGGCCCGACTAGTGTTTGGACGGCTTTCGACCCGCCTCGCGAGCCTGTTGACCAAAAAGTATCCCCACCAGCCAGCCCATCCAGAAACGATGCCCAGACGACCCAGGTGTTGTTGTGACACGTTCCAGGACACCTCTTGGAGCCATTTTGGGCCTCTCTGCCGGTCCTCTTGGGGCAATGTTGGGGCCTTCTTGGAGCTCTCTTGGAGCCTTCTTGGGGCCCTCGGAAGGCTCTTTACGAGACTCTGGGAGGCCTCTCGAGGCCACCTGACAAGCCAATGCTAGCAAAAACGGGCGGCGACAATTCAGACCCCCCCCGTCTCCCATGTTCGTTGGCCCTTCCAGGTGCAAGGGCCAAGATTAGAAGGCGAAGTGCAGGGAGCCTTAAACTCTTGTGTGTGTATCTATGTATATATGTACACACATAACAGCTCGGATGTCCGTGCAGATTTCTCGGATCGGCGCCTCCGTCCCTGGCTGGCGGAGTAACACCTGAGGCGCCGCCAGGGCCCCCCCGCGCCGATCCGAGAAATCCGCGCGGACCTCCGAGCTTTCCCCAATCAGGCTTGCCTAAAGGGTTCCAACTTTGTTCAAGGTTGGAGGTTCCTCGGGTTCCCCGTCTCCGGTGCCTGCTATTGTTACGTTGCCCGTTTCTCGGAGGTTCCTCGGGTTCCCCAAGCTCCTCGGGTTCCCAAAACTCCTCGGGTTCCCAAAACTCCTCGGGTTCCCTGGGTTCCTCGGGTTCCCTGGGTTCCCCGAGTTCCTCGGGTTCCCCGGTTTGCTCGGGTTCATTCCCCAACTAGGCTTGCCAAAGCAATGCCTAAGGCAACGCCTAAGGCAATGTGTAAGGCAATGCCAAGCAATGCCAAAGCAATGCGAAGCAATGCCAAACCATGCCAAGCAATGCCAAGCGATGCGTCCAATGATGCGCCTATTCAATAAACTTTCCCCTAATTTTGGTCGAGCCGGGTTCATCATGTTTATGCCATGATTGGCTCCCTGGCACAAGCCGGCTCTTCATCCTGAGCTCGTCCTGGCGGCTCCGATGGCCCAGTGAGGGCCCCTGGAGGCCGAACATCGGGAAGCACCTCCCGTCGTACTCTTCTCGCAGCGCGAGGGGGTCTGAGGGTGAGGGGTGGCGCGAGCCTCCCCACGGGGCCAGGGGAAGGTGCCTCTGGGCAGGCCCTGCCGTGGTGCACGTTGAGCAGGGACCGACCGTCCCGGCAGTCCTGTAGTCCTACTACGAAATGCTCGTAGAACCCACAAATGTTATAAGAATTATCCCAGTGCGAACCTACCTAGGAGTTGGAGCCTCTAGGAAAGCATCATGCTATGCTATGCTATGCTATGTTATGCTGCGCTATGCTATGCTGCGCTATGCTATGCTATGCTATGCTATGTGTTTGCTTTGCCTTCGTTTTTGCCTTCACTTTTGCCTTTGCTTTTGCTTTTGCTTGGCACCCAGGGAGCGCAACTGGGGGAACCGCGCGTTTGCTTTTACCTTTGCTGTTGCTCTTGCTTGGGTCCCAGGGGACTGGGGGAACCGCCGCCCCGGTGTGCACTGCCCGGCCCCTTTAAGCCAACAGAGTAAGAACCCTTCTAGGCAGAGCCTAGGTAGGGAACAAAAATTATCCCAGTGCGACCCTACCTAGGAGTTGGAGCCCCTAGGAAAGCAGCATTAGTAGTAACAGTGAATCTAAGCTAAAGCTAAGCTAAAGCTAAGCTAAGCTAAAGCTAAGCTAAAGCTAAGCTAAAGCTAAGACATAGCTAAGCTAAAGCTAAGCTAAAGCTAAGCTGAAGCTAAGCTGAAGCTAAGCTGAAGCTAAGCTAAAGCTGAGCTAAAGCTGAGCCAAAGTTAAGCTAAAGCTAAGCTAAAGCCAAGCTAACTATAAGCTGAAGCTGAGCTAAAGCTAAGCTAAAACTAAAGCTAAGCTAAAGCTAAGCTAAAGCTAAGCTGAAGCTAAGCTAAAGCTACGCTAAAGCTAAGTTAAAGCTAAGCTAAAGCTAAGCTAAAGCTAAGCTGAAGCTAAGCTAAAGCTGAAGCTAAGCTAAAACTAAGCTGAAGCTAAGCTGAAGCTAAGCTGAAGCTGAGCTAAATATAAGCTAAAGCTAAGCTAAAGCTAAGCTAAAGCTAAGCTAAAGCTAAAATGGAGCTAAGCTGGAGCTAAGCTGAAGCTAAGCTGAAGCTAAGCTAAAGCTAAGCTAAAGCTAAGCTAAAGCTAAGCTAAAGCTAAACTAAAGCTCAGCTAAAGCTCAGCTAAAGCTAAAGCTAAGCTAAATCTAAGCTAAAGCTAAGCTAAAGCTAAGCTGAAGCTAAGCTGAAGCTAAACTGAAGCTAAGCTGAAACTAAGCTGAAGCTAAGCTAAAGCTAAGCTGAAGGTAAGCTAAAGCTAAGCTGGAGCTAAGCTGGAGCTAAGCTAAATCTAAGCTAAATCTAAGCTAAAGCTAAGCTACAGCTAAGCTAACGTTAGGCTAAGGCTAAGCTAAAGCTAAGCTAAATCTAAGTTAAATCTAAGCTAAATCTAAGCTAAAGCTAAGCTAAAGCTAAGCTAAAGCTAAGCTAAAGCTAAGCTAAAGCTAAGCTAAGCTAAAGCTAAAACTAAGCTAAAGCTAAAGCTACAGCTCTAGCTAAAGCTCCCAGGGGACTGGGGGAACCGCGGGGCGGGGACTGGGGGAACCGCCGGGGCGTGGTGCACTGCCCGGCCCCTTTAAGCTAAGAGAGTAAGAACCCTCTAGGCAGAGCCTAGGTAGGGAACAACAACAATCTTCTTAGAACATAAGCCCGATGTGCTAAAACAAAACAGTCCCAGCCAGCAATGTTCTAAGAACATTGCGTGGAAAGCACAAGCGGCTCTTAGATCATTGCTTGGTAGGCCCATAAGCACGCCAGGACGCTTCGACAATGCTCGAGCACGAGCTCGCCCGTTCCCCGCATAAAAACAAGGCTAGGATCAAGATAAATCGCTCCAGAGCGTTCCGGAGCGCTCTCAAAGCGTTCCGGAACGCTCTAAAGCGGCCGCGGCGCCCAATACATCCTCCCAACCCGCCGATTCTCAGAGATTTCGAGTTATCCCGATCCGATGTTGTCCCGATCTTCGCGTCGTTTTACCGTTCCCCGCACCTGCCCGAGCTCGCCCAGCGCGCAACGGTGGGCCTCGCCGTCCGGCTCCCACCGCACGGTCACCTTTCTGGCCATCGCTCGGACGTCCATTCCCTATGCTTTTTTCGGCTTCGTGCGTGCTTTCTTCCGCTCGATGATCCAGGATGCTCCTCAAGGGTCCTCGCCGAGGAAAAATTACACACGTCCGAGCGATGCCAGGCTTTCGGCGGCGCGCCCCCTGGGCAGGGCCTGGCCGTGGCCCGCCGACACGCCGCACGCGGCGCGCGCGAGGGGCGGCCCGCGTGCCCGCGGCTGCCTCGCCCCCCCCCCCCCGCTCCCGCCGCCCCCCCCCCCGACAGCAGCGTGCCAAGGGTCCCTCCCGCACGGAGCCGCGCGGGGCCTTCGGGTCACCGCTCGGGCCTCTGGCGGCCGCTCGGACAGAAGTCGGGCACCCCTGGGGCGCTCTCGGCGAGCGGCCCAGGATGAGGAGGCCTCCTCCGCATCCTCCTGTCGCGTCGTCCTCGTAATCATCATCGTCGTCGTCGTACCGAGCCTGTCCCTGCCCCTGCCCCGACTCCTCCTCTTCTTCCTCCTCCTTCTCCTCCTCCTTTTCCTCCTCCTTCTCCTCCTCTCCTTCTTCTGCGCGCGAGCGGGGAGAGGTGGAGGGAGAAGGCGGAGGCTGAGGCGTCGCAGGATGAGCAGGATAATGATCAGGACCATTAGGAGGACGAGGTTGAGCAGGAGGAGGAGTAGGAGGAGGAGGAGGAGGAGGAGCAGGAGGAGGAGCAGGAGGAGGAGACGTAGGAAGAGGAGCAGGAGGAGGAGGAGGAGGAACAGGAGGAGGAGGAGAAGGAGGAGAAGGAGGAGGAGGAGGAGGAGGAGGAGGGAGGAAGAGGGCAAAAGCCCATTGACGCACAACAACTAAACACACATCCAAATATTACCGCGATTTGTTCCATTACTTTGGGGACGTTTGGTTTCCCCTCCACTTGCCACAGTTTCCATCTTTCCTTGGGCATCTGATTTTTCTCCCCTCCTGCAAGGAGGAGGAGGAGGAGGAGGAGGAGGAGGAGGAGGAGGAGGAGGAGGGGAGATTGAGGGAAGGCTGATGTTACCCCCGCCTGTGCATACGATTGGGCGCCGAGGCTGCTGTGGATGAGGCTGCTCCCGAGGAAAACGACGAGACGGATGATGCTGACGGAGGGACGGCAACGGCGGAGGAGGCGGAGAAGGAAGCAACGGCGGTCTCCGCCAGAAGAGGCAGAGGATGAGGAGGCGGAGAAAGAGCAGGATGGCGATGAGGAGGTGGAGGGAGAGAGGGAGGAAGGACGACGCGAAGCACCACGCATGGGGTGAGGGAGGAGATCGCGAGCTCAGCCATCCGACGGAATGATTCTCCAACGTGCGGAGAGAGAGAGAGAGAGAGAGAGAGAGGGGTGCTGGACCCCTTCCCCGCGGCCCCGGGGGAAGCTTGGTGGCGCCATGGCCCGATCGCAGGCTCCATGGGGCCTGGGAGGAGCACCAAACTCGGCTGCACGTAAGAGCCCGACCAGCCATAACTGGGGGAGCTGTGGTCCTTACCCCCCTGGGGTAACCCATCGCATCGACAGTCTCTCGAGAGGGGCGTCGAAATCGATGGGTCCCCCAGGGGGGCAAGAACCACAGCTCCCCCAGCTGTGGCTGGCCCGAGAGTGCCCCGGAGCAAGAGTGAGCTTCGGCATGCGGCCCTTGGGGGCGCGAGGGGGCCAGGCCCAGGTGCGCAGGCCGCTGCTGCCCCATCGCGCTCGGCGATCGGGAGGCCACCCCGGCGAAACGCCACTCCTGCGTGTGGCCGACGCGCGCACGCCGCCCGCGAGCTGGGAGCAGTGCGGAGGAGGGCGGCCCGGGGCCTCCGAAGAGGCTCCAGGACACACAAATGAATGCACACAAATAAAAGACATGCCCAATATTTTCTGGGCTTTTGTCTTCCCCCCCCACTTCCCATATTTTCCTATATCCTCCTGAGAATCGACGATTCATTGTGTCTGTGTGTCTTTTCCCCTCCTGAACCTCCCCGCCCTCGTGCGCCTCCGCGACGACGCCATAGCGCCACTCCGCCCCGCCGCCCGGCCGCGCCCGGAACCTGCCGCCCTCGCGCGGCCCGGCGCCCGCGGCGGCCCGCGCGCCCTCGCCGCCGCCCGCGGCCGCCCGCCGGGGCGCGCGGGCCCTCCGCCGCGCCGCCGCGCCGCGCGCGCCGCGGGGCCCCGCGGCGCCCCGCGGCGGCGCGGCGCTGCGCGGCGCTGCCGCGCCCGCCGCGCCCGCGAGGCCCAGCGGCGAGGCCGTGCCGGGCGCCGCGGCGAGCGCGGCGCCGGCCGCCGCGGCGCCGCACGCGAGCGCGGCGGGGCGGGGCGCGCGGCGCCGCGGGCGGCGGGCCATGGCTCCCCGCGGAGGGGGCGCGAGGCGGCGCGCACTCCGTGGGCCCGCCCTTGCTTCAGAGGCACCTGCCCCGTCGGGGAGGGGCAGGAGGGGGGGGGGAAAGGATGGAGGCCGATCCCCAACCACGTCGGGCCGTTCGCGAAGCACCTCGGAGACGGACAGACCCCAGCGTGCAGGATTCTCCTGCAGTCATCCTGCAAGGTGGACAGCAAGCTTACAACCGGGGGAACTCCCCAGAAGCTTCGGAGGAGCTCCCCAGTGGCTTCTCAGGAGCCTCTCAATGGAGCCTCTGAGGAGCTTCCCTGGAGTTTCTGAAGAGCTTCTGGGCTGCTTGCCTGGAGCTTCCCTGGAGTTTCTGAGGAGCTCCCCTGGAGCTCCTGATGTTTTTCTGGGGAGCTCCTCAGAAGCCTTTCGCAAGCCTCTGGGAAGCCTCCGAGAAGCCTACAAAAAGTCTCAGGGGAGCCTCTGGGAAGCCCCCGAGAAGCCTCTGGGAAGCCTCTGGGAAATCCTCCGATCAATTTCCGAGGCTTCCGATAAGCTTGAAGCTTCTGGGAAGCCTCTGGGAAATCTCCTGACAAGCTTGTGAGAAGTGTCTGGGAGACCTTTGGGAAGCCTCAGGAAGGCCTTTGAGACACCTCGGTGCCTCTCAATACTCTTTGGCCATCGTGGGTCTGCTTGCGTATACGTCTGCAATGTGTGGTGCTCTTGGGTGCTCTTTGGTATTCTTGGAATGTTTTCGTACTCTTGGGCTGCCGTTTGCTTAATCTTGTAACCTTGGGCAGTTTTGAATATCTTTGAGTCGGACTGGGTCCTATCTGGAAGTTTTGGGTATTATTAGATCGTCTGTGGTCCCCTTGGGTATTCCTATTCGGAGGAGGAGGAAGCGGAGGAGGAGGAGAAGGGGGAGGCATATGATGAGGATGAGGATGATGATGATGATGCTGATGATGATGATGATGGTGACGATGATGGTGATGCTGCTGATGATAATGGTGATACCGACGATACTGATAATGTTGTTGATGATGATGATGGCGATGCTGATGTTGCTGTTGCTGATGACGATGATGATGGTGACGATGATGCTGATGCTGCTGATGATGGTACTACTAACAATGCTGACGGTGCTACGGATATTGGTGATGGTGACGATGATGATGATGATGATGCTAACGACGATGATGCTGTTGCTTATGATGATGCTGATGATGATGACGATGGTGATGGTGATGCTGATGATGATGCTGGTGATGACGATGCTGATAATGATGCTGATGATGCTGATGCTGCTGCTGATGATGAGGCGGAGGAGGAGGATGAACATGCGGACAAGGTGGATGCCGAACAGGAAGTATGAGAGGGGGTGAAGGCACTAAGAAGAGGAGGCATGTGGGACGAGGTAGGATGACGTAGGACGAGCTAGGACAGGAGGGGGAGGGAAAGGAGGAGGAGGCGGAGGAGGAGAAAGAGGAGGAGGAGGAGGAGGAAGAGGAGGGGGGGGGAGGCGGAGGTGGAGGCGGAGGCGAAGGATGGGTGGGCGCAGCTTCCACGGAAGCCCTGACAGAAGTGAGTGAAACTCACGACTGCCAGGGCCGCCAGAAGTTCCTCGCTCGGTGAGTCCCTCGCCGCCGCGAGCGCGACGCAGCCGGACGTGGCGACGAGGGGGGCCCCGAACAAGCCCAGACAAGCATCCGTCGCGACCCTGGCCTACCGCAAGGGCAGGCCAGGCAGGAGTGCAAGGCATCCGCCCCGCATGCAGTCTGCTGGCGTGTGTGCCGTCACCCGCGGGGGAGACTTCCCTACGTCGGCATAGCGTTTTGCAATGCAGCACATGTGACTTGCACAGGTAGTAGCGGGCGATGTAACGAACCGCCCGCAATTGGTTGTTATCCGAAGCTCCTCTGGGCCACTTACTGAAGCCCAATGCGTCCAGAAACGCTCTTGAGTGCCTCCCCTTAGTCAACACAATACTGCACAGCTTGCCTTACCCGTCACAATCAGATGTGACGAAGAGGTTTCGATCGGCCCCAGTCGCGAGGGTGGCGGGGAGCCCTCTCTGCTGCCTCACTTACTGATTCCCCCTCCTGCACTCCTCCTCCTCCTCCTCCTCCTCCTCCTCCTCCTCCTCCTCCTCCCCCCTCCTCCTTCTCCTTCTCCTCCTTCTCCACGCTCCCGCCAGTCCCCCAACTGCGCTCCTCCACCTCCTTCTTCCCCACTGCGCTGCCCCGCTTCCGCCCCCTCCTCCGCTTCCGTCCCGCAGGCGTGCTCTTCATACTACTCCCTTGTAGTCGCCAACAGCGCCTGAAGCCTTCTAGGAACTTTACGTGGGAGGTGTCTCACAGGAGAACTCCAGCTGCCAAGCATCGCTCGCTCGCTCGCCCGCTCCTCCTCCCTGTCCCCTCTCCCTCCTCTCCACACCCTCCTTCAATCCATCGAGTTCTCCTTGCCTCTCCCTGCGCCTCTCCTCTCTTCCTTCGCATTGAGCTTATTATCTGATCTTGCTGCTATCTGTCTTCAGCCGAGGCAGCCACGGCAACAATGGCGCACCAATACTTTCTGCGTGGTCAAGCTGTTCTCGTCGTCGTGATCGTCGCCCACTCTAGATCTCCCCCGCGAAGGCCCTAATCATTGACCAGGGAACTTCTCAACATAATCACACAGTGAGCGTT